GCATTTAAAGCAAAGAAAAGTGAAGCTTCTAGCTCGGCTCAATGGTATTCAAAAGGTGTTGCATCACAGGTCTAATAGATCTCTCAGTCAGTTGGAAGAATCTCTTGTTACAGAGTATAATGCCGTTCTTGAGCAGGAGGCCTTATTTTGGCAACAGAAATCAAGGATAAAATGGCTTCAAGAAGGTGACCGTAATACTAAGTTCTTTCATCTAACCACCATTGTTAGAAGAAGGAAAAATAGGATTGAAAAGCTGAAAAATGATAATGATTTGTGGGTAGAGGAGGCTGAAGGTTTAAAAGAGCTTGCTGTGAATTATTTTCTAGGCCTCTTCTCTATGACTCCCAGGGATCACAGTGGGCTATCCATGCCTAATCTGTTTCCCAGTATCAATGATGTTGATTTGAATGGTCTGGTGGCTCGTGTTGATATTAGTGAAGTCAAGGAAAGTCTCTTCAATATAGGTGGTCTCAAAGCCCCTGGAGTGGATGGGTTTCCTGCTTGCTTCTACCAAAATCAGTGGAATATGTGTGGTAATGACATTTATGACCTGGTTTCTCAAGCTTTCAGGGAGCGTCACATTCTCAAAGGTTTGAATGCTACTCTCATCACTCTAGTTCCTAAATTGGCTAACCCTGTTTCTATGATGCACTTTCGCCCTATTAGCCTTTGCTGCACTCTTTATAAAGTGATTTCTAAAGTGATTGTTGCTAGGCTGAGGCCTATTCTGCCTAAGCTAATCAGTCCCCATCAGGTGAGTTTTGTTCCCGGTAGACATATTACAGATAATATCCTCATTGCCCAAGAGATTATGTTTAAATTTCGGAGTACTAAGGGGAAAAAAGGGTTTATGGCTTGTTGCACTTTCGCCCTATCAGCCTATGCTGCACTCTTTATAAAGTGATTTCTAAAGTGATTGTTGCTAGGCTGAGGCCTATTCTGCCTAAGCTAATCAGTCCCCATCAGGTGAGTTTTGTTCCCGGTAGACATATTACAGATAATATCCTCATTGCCCAAGAGATTATGTTTAAATTTCGGAGTACTAAGGGGAAAAAAGGGTTTATGGCTTGGAAGATTGATTTATCTAAAGCCTATGATCGGTTGAGTTGGAATTTTATCGAGGTAGTTCTTCATGAAATAGGTTTGCCTACTACCTTGATTCAGTTGATCATGCAGTGTGTTTCTTCTGTCACCTATCAAGTCTGTGTGAATGGGGAGCTCACTTCGACTTTTACTCCGTCCAATGGTATTAGACAGGGTGACCCACTCTCACCTTATCTTTTTGTTCTTTGCATTGAAAAGCTCTCACACCTCATTGTGGAGGCTGTGGGAAAGAATATATGGAAACCGGTGAAAGCTTCCCAAGCTGGGCCTGCTGTATCCCACTTATTTTTTGCTGATGACCTAATTCTCTTTGCTGAAGCTAGTACTCACCAAGCAAGAATAATGAAGAATTGCTTGGACCTCTTCTGTAAAGCTTCTGGTCAGATTGTCAACTTTGAAAAGTCTGCAATATACTGCTCCCCTAATATTAGCAAAGAAATGGCTGCTAATATTAGTAGTATATGTGGTTCTCCTCTCACTTCGAACCTAGGCAATTACTTGGGGATGCCTCTGTTACACTCTAGGGTAACTAAGGCTACTTATAGCAATCTTGTGGACAAAATGCATGCCAGGCTGGCTTCTTGGAAAAGTAAGGTTCTCTCTACAGCTGGAAGGGCTACTCTAATTCAAGCTGTCACTTCAGCTATACCAATTTATGCAATGCAAACCTCTAAACTCCCTATGAGCACTTGTGAGGATTTGGATAAAGTGAATCGCAATTTTTTTTGGGGAGGCAGTGCGAAGAAGCATAAGATCCACTTGTGCCAGTGGGACCTTGTTTGTAAACCCAAAAGTAAGGGAGGGTTGGGTTTGAAGAAAACTCATGATATGAATCAAGCTCTACTAGCTAAAGTTGGCTGGAGGTTATTGAGGAAGGATGAGGGGTTATGGGCCCAAATTTTTGAAAAGAAGTATTTTAAGAGCCATTCCTTTTGTGAGCCTAATTTGGCCCCAAAACAAAATTGTTCTCCTACTTGGAAGGGGATTATGTTTGGTGCTCAACTGCTTGACAAAGGATTATCTTGGAGACTCGGGAAAGGCGACAAGGTTAAGTTTTGGAGAGATAAATGGATCAGTGATATACCTTTGATGCAGATAGTGGACCTTGCTCCTGATCTCAATTTGAATTCCCTTGTTTCTGATTTTTTTGTGAATGGTTGGTGGGATGTGGAGAAGTTGAGGAGTGTTCTCCCTGAGGAATGGGTCGAAAAAGTTACTGGTTGTTCAGCTGATTTTCAGGGATTATTGGAGGATTGCCGGATCTGGAAACCTACTTCTAATGGGTTATTCTCTGTCAAGTCTGCTTACAGCTTGCTTTTTCAGGAGGCATTTACTGCTGCAAAGGATTGGTTTCAAGCCATTGCTGGTAATAATAGTGGAGCTAATAAGGTGCAAGTGTTGTTGGCTTGGGCTCCTCCTGAAATTGGTGTGATCAAGTTAAATGTCGATGGATCTCGCATGAACAGTACTGGTGCCATTGGTGCTGGAGGAGTCTTGAGGGATCATTTGGGTCTGGGGTCTATTTATGAACTCTACTCAAGCTATACCTTTTTTCCAAACTGATTTTCATCCTTGGCTATTAAGCAATTTGTGTTCCAAGGCTCACTTTGCTCAGATTCCATGGAGAATTATGTTTATTTTCATTTGCTGGTATATTTGGAAATGGAGAAATGACTTTATTTTTAAAGATAATACTGACTTGCCTTTCAATCCCGAAGATTTTATCTTTACTGCTGCAAAGGATTGGTTTCAAGCCATTGCTGGTAATAATAGGGGAGCTAATAAGGTGCAAGTGTTGTTGGCTTGGGTTCCTCCTGAAATTGGTGTGATCAAGTTAAATGTCGATGGATCTCGCATGAACAGTACTGGTGCCATTGGTGCTGGAGGTGTCTTGAGGGATCATTTGGGTCAGTGGATTGGTGGATTTGCTGTCAACTCAGGCCAGGGAGAAGTTCTTGAAGCTGAGTTGTGGGGGCTATTTTTTGGGATGAACTTGGCTGTTGAGAAAAAAGTAGAGGATATTGTTATTGAGATGGATTCTGAGACTGCGGTGCTTCTTGTTCAGAGTAAGATTTTGAATGCTTGTCATCCTAATGCAGGGCTGATTAGTAGCTGTAAAAGACTTATGAACTTGTTTCGAAGGATCAAGCTTCAACATATCTATAGAGAGATGAATGATGTAGCTGACGGGTTGGCTACTTGGAGTCACAATTTGGATCTAGGCTGTTACTATCTTGAGGAGAGCCCTGCTTGGCTTGATTTTTTATTGCTTAATGATTCTTTGGGAACTGTTAAGTCCCGCCTGATTAGTTCTAGTTAGTTGCTGTGTTGGTGCTTGGGGTTTCCCCCCTTTTTCTTCATAAAAAAAAAAAAAATTGGAGTGACTACCACATGGTTCTAATTTGAACCTGTTGGTTGGCCCTTAAATACGGATTTATGGGCTTGAGAATGTCGCTGCTAGCTTCAAGTCTGTGAAACACCCCACGTACCCAAGTGGTTGAGGAACCATCCAAAATTGGGGGAAAACAGTTGTACGTGTACAATTTCACTTGCAACCTCACCAAAGCTCCCAATTTATTTATGCCCACGTTGATTCACATTAAACTGTGATTTGGGTTGCACTCGATTTAAATGGGAATTCAAGATTCACTCTGCTGGGAATTCTAATTTCTTAACATAGAAAATGAAGAATTAAAATAAAATGAAAACAGTGAAATATTTAAAATCACGTGTCAGATTAACCAAGGACAGAGGGAGGTAGAGTGCACGCATGTTGGCATGAACATGTCTTTTCGATCATGGCGCCCTTTTTTTTTTTTTTTTTTTCATTGAACTTGCATCAAACTTACAAAAGAATCAATTGGCGAAACGGATGGCTCAGAGTGGCCTCATTAAAACCTTGTCATATAAAACCCTTAAGGGAGGAAAATCATGTCAAGGAAAAAGAATACCACAGCACCTCCAAATAAACAACAGAGGATAACAAAAGAGCCCCATTAAATATGCACCCTATCGCTCTCTAGTACCTGCTCCAGCCAAGGGGGAGCAATTAGACCTGGCAATATTGCACACGACCCGTTAACACGACACGAATTCGCACGAAATTATCAGTATTTGGGTTGAGCTTAATGGGTCGGGTTGAAAACGGGTGAACCCGTTAGCCACCCGTTAAGCTAACGGGTCGTGTTGGGTCGAAAACGGGTGAACCCGTTACACCCGTTAGGGAG